TAGTTACGCCGTCTAGGCACGAGATTAAACGACGTGATACACAGGAGTATCCCCACACGATGTACTTCAAGTCTTGCAACGAGTGTGCATTTCGTGTCTAACGAAGAAGGCTTCCCAGACACACCGGTCGAACCTAAACTAATGACAAAGTACAACATGTAGGGAGAAGCTACGAGTAACAGATTAACAAATGATGCTACAATCTCCGGTGGTCTGTCCTAGTCATTCCAACGAGCCTGCTCGCCATTTCATAACAACTCGAAACCGACTGAGAGTGCGGCTTCGATCTGTCAGACAGGTTCGACCGTCAATCTCAGTTTCGTTGTGGCATGCCGTATTTATTATGAGGGGGGGGGGGCGCTGTCACTAAGGTGCATAGTCAATTGTACGGCACCCACCCGTCTCGGAAAATGGACCGATTCCACGTAAACAGAAAAAATCAATAAAAACCAATGAGCGCTGGCTGAGTGAGTACCTTTTTTCTACAAAGGACTTACAGAGAAGAGGAAAAAGACGACATGCTAAAAGCTGGTATCCTCCCGCGTATGACCTTAAGTGCGGTTACGTTACTGGTTAATTAATAATGCAACCACATCCTAATAATCCTGTCTATCTGCAAAGACGTCTGCCAGTGTTTACCGAACTAAAGAAATTTTATGACGCCGTAAAATTCTGTTTTGCCCCTTTTCTTAAGTAGAGCACCTGTTCGATAGTGCATACCAGTCAAAACTGAAGACCATGAATGCTATAGTGGTTGTGTGGACTACCCCAAAACTGGATTTACTCAGTCTCTGACAGCTTCCTCGTATTGGCCATCGTCATCCCTCAACTGGTTGCACAGGACATGCTCGAAATCGGCAAACCACGGCTCACAAAATGGCAGTTAGCGGCATTTACTTCGGTCAACGAATTCATACAAACGCCGGAGGTGTGTGTGTGTGTTTGTTAAAAAAGCACCGGTGGGGAATTGAGACATTCAGCGCGGCATTCTCCCAATCAACACTTTTAGACCGCGATGGATGGAAAGACGATTTCGTGCAGGAGGAGAGGTGGTTCTGTGCGCCAAGAGGATGCCTGTTCTCGCCGGAGCAGACGGAGGATGTTGTTAACCCAAGAGGAACCTGAACAGCAGATAACCAGCAACGGCCGAAACCAGGAGATGCGTGGTGCTCCAGCCCTTCGAGATGACAGGCAAAGAGGGTGGCAAAGAAGAGGAGGAAGTGGACGGAACTGTTGAATCAGGTTGAAATGACGTCAGGGTGCAGATGCGAGCAACCTAGGCAAAGCGGTGTTAGTAGCGGAAGATCGGTGAGAAGGGGAAAGGGTCTTAGACGACCCAAAAAGGGCAATAATGAGCTCAAAAGAGGGGCCTACCTCTTGCGGGATGGCGTCAACGCTCTTGTGTATCTCCTCCTGAAAGGGGTGGACAAAAATAAGAACCCAATTAGCGGAGGGTGCAGACCTCGTAACTAGCACGCAAACTAACTGTCAATGTAAGTAAAGCGTACTCACCGAGAGTAAGAGTAGCTTTTTTACTGATTTTAGTCCATCCTCAAGTTTGACCTAGAAATAACAAAATCAAAGATGAGGTTCACAAACATGATAAACAATAGCGTTAGTAGGCAAACAGTGCTGGAAGAGCCAAGGAAGTTAGACTGTAACGTAATCTGCAATAAGGAAGCATAGGCGGCAAAACCATCCAGGGACTTAGAGTACCAGATAGAAATGTGCAGGACTACTGCCGTTAATGATGTACAGGTATGCATCAAACATAACTTCCTACAAAATATTTGAAATGACAGGAATGTATGCATGGATAACGTTACAGTGAATTTGTGAAATGTCGCTCTAGCACCGACCTGGTTACACCAAAGAGGAAGATGGTATTTAGCACTGTCTGATTTTCAGGGAATGAAACTCCAGACACATACTGTTGCGCTATACATGGTCTTTGAGCCGGACACGGAATACGGACCCCGTACGGCAAGTGATCTTGCGTTAGATTTCAGAATGCACCTATTCCCATATCCTAACCTTAACCGTGACCCTCCTGAACATAACACAAACCCTCAAAACCCTAACTATAGCCATCACCCTATGGCATTTAATACAAAGCCAGCTGCAGTGCGTGACCGATCTCATGAAATGTTGGCCGAAATTCTGAAATGCGTTTTCGATTAGGAAGGTTTACTTAGGTGGGGTTGTAATATTGATTATGGTGCGGCATTATCTTATAGTATTTCGGACTCGCCGGAACTATGGCTTTTGATTCCACTTCTTTCCGACCTGCAGAAACAACACTCGGTAGAAATTGACGACTTATATAGCATGCATTTTTCACATTAATTTTTGATGGTCTTATAAATTCAAATATATTTTATAGAAACCGTACATAAAATATGTTTTCTTTTGCTCGTTTGGTAGAAGATAGCATTTCCTTCACATTTTATGCCCGAAGAAAGTGTATATTTCGGTTTTAAAAAAGTTTCTAATTATAAGATTTTTAAGACCATGCGATGTCCATACATACAGCATCGCACATGCACGTCTACCAATGCTGCTCACAAAATGTACATCAGAGCCCGCATTCACTGCAAAATTTCATGAACTTTATATGATATTTTCTTAAGGGCATTGAGGAATATATGATTCTCCTTACGCGGAAAGCATACACTTTGTAGTCTGAAATCGCTAAACGCTAATGCAACGACAGATCAAGCTCAAAATTATTCGGGAATCGGGAAACATTTTCCAAACCCAAATATGCCCTTTTTTCGGACATAAAACGCAAAGGTAACAGGGTTATCTACCAAAAAAATAAAAGGAAGCATAGTTTTATGCATGGTTTCTATAAAATATATTTGAATTTATAAAACCATCGAAAATCAATGTGAAAAATGCATGCTATATAAGTCGTCAATCTTTACCGAGTGTGGTTTCTGCAGGTAGGAAAGAAGTGGAATCGAAAGCCATCATCCTGGCGAGTCCGAAATACTATAGGATCATGCCGCGTGATAATCAATATTACAACCCCACCAAAGTAATGCTTCCTAATCGAAAACGAATTTCGGCCAACATTTATGAGATCGGTCACGCACTGCATAATGCCGGCATCCGTATTTCCGTGCCCTAGTAAGCAGCGTTTCATGCAGTCGGCCAATTTACGTTCAAATGTTTCCTTTGTATCTGTAATGAGGTAAACGGCTTGGGATGCTACCAATGTCCTGTCAGAATGTGTGACTTGGGGCCTAGATAACCACTGCCAACAAATATCATCCAAGTACTTCTCACGAGATGCATGGTTCCATCGCTTTCACTAGAAAAAAATATTCCTGTGCTTACTCTGGATATGGGAAAAGCCGTTCACACGGACCTTTTGGGTCGGAAGAAAACAGACACTAGGGTTTGCTGTCTTATACAGACCTGCAACTTCTAGGCGATCGACAATAGTGAGCTGAGGTAAACCGGAAGCTCCGGTCTCTCAAAAATCGTCAGTCATTGTGAGGTGAGAGAGTCCCACGCAACTAAGCAGTATGTGATGGTCTGAGGTGGTTATGCAAGGACATTTCTTCATACTAGAGATTAGTTTCCAGCTAGCATTTTGCCGAAAATTACATCCTTTTAAGAACCCTTGAGTTGCTTCCAGATATACTCGAGCTTCGAAGAAGTCCTCTTGCTGTCATATCTTTGAGATGTAGTCTACGACTTAGTGTGCTTTTAACATCAAAATGCCACTGAAAAGGCAATTTATCGATATTTTTAAATCTACCCTAATACAGAACACTGAAATTCATGTTACGGGAAATTTACCAACAATCTTCAATGTTTGATTTATGAGTGGCATTTTAGGTGGCACAAAAAACTCCACTGGGGCGTTAAAATGCCGTCGTTTAAGGGATGGTGTGGAGCTAGGTTCTATAAGCCCGGCCTCATTAGCGCGCCAATTCGACGAAGGCAACTTATTAACGGGCCTAATGAACTTTTGACTAAAAAAGACAGTCGGTACATAGGGGCACACCGCGTGGTTCAGTAAAGTATTGAAACGACACAAGCCCTGTCAGTATTTTCAGTAGCATGATCAAATCCGTGAAAGGGAAAGTGCAAGATGAAGATGAGGACTGACCGGATCAACCGCCCGCGCACGAAGACGAAACCAGGTGATCGCAGCCGAGAGAAAGCTGAGGGTAATACTGCCAATGAGTGCCCACTGCCGCATCCGCTTGTCGTAGTTGCGTTCCTCGGCGTGCAGGTAGCGTAAATGACTGCCAAACTTCTCATAGGCTGCCCTTTCAAGGCGATCAGCCTCTGTGTACTCGTTTACCAGCCGTGCCTCCTCGATGGCGTACTGAAATAGGCAATAGCATAAAATAAGACTGAAGTTTTCAGATGTAGCCCGAGAACTGGAAAACAACTCCCCTCGGGTCAGTCTCTTAACCTGGACGCATGATTCAGTTGCTAATATGACTTATTTCTGACAGATGCGCGACCACTATGGAGCGCCGGACGCAGACGGCCTGATGAACGGCTGAAAGTCGGACGTTAGCAAGGCCTCCTATCCGCGAAGTCGGGATCCTAGGGCTTCTCTCTGCGCGCTCTAATATAATCCTTCAGTTTCCGTTTGCTTGATTGGATGACTGCTTTGCCAAAAATACACCCATTCACCAGCGGGTGAAATTTAGCAAAGTCGGTAGTGCAAACGATCCTGACGTTGTCAGAGTAAAGCACCACCCGCGCCAGAATCCTAACTGATGCCAAAAGTCGTCAGACACGTCAGGTTTACATAGTAACGCAACATCTCTCTCCCTCTCTTACTGCTTGCTTGCATCTCTCCACGCGTGACGATCCGCGGCAGCAGATCTGAACAGTTCAACCCACTTTCTTCGCCAACGACGGAGACCGAATACCGAAGGACTAAGAACCACCTACATGTCTTGACGAACTGTGTCAAGCCAGGTTTTGAGTTGAACCCATCATCGACACCTCCAATGGGGTAACGGTGCCGGATCGAGGGCAGTAACACTCAGCTTCTGAGGTGGACGACGAAGAACATGCCCAAACCACCTTAGTCGACTTTCTGAATGGCCTAGATTATCCATCCTTGCGATGTTATCGCAAGTATTATCAAGTCAGCGTACTTCACTCGAAGGATGGTCTTCATGCAGTGGCGGTCAAATACCTCCAGTTTTCGCTCGTCCTCCAAGCGCACGGCACAACAGTCACAACCACAAAGAAGGACAGACCGGACAGACGTACGATACGCGCGAATCTTAGTGACGATGGAGATGTCGCGTCGGATCCATAGACATTTTCTATGGCTTGAGAAAACCCGTCGGGCAGCATCAATTCGGGAGACACTGCCATCCTTGCTCTGGCCATTTGGCACCAGCTTCGTCCCGAGGCATTTAAAACTGTCTACTTCTTCAAGTTGACAGCCATCAATCCCGAGAGGTGCCTTCTCCTGGTCAGGGATGCAGCTTTAAAACACTTTAGTCTTCCCAGCGGCAATGGATAAACCGACCGATTTGGCGACCTCGTTCACCCGTGACACCATGGACTGTAGACCACGAAAACTTGAAGCAAGTAAGGCAGTATCATCGGCATAGTCGAGATCAGTCAGTCGGTGTCCGAGTGCAAATTCAGCACCGTCACCTTCGGGCCCTCCTGAGAAAACCAGTCAATAGCGTAGTTGGACAGAATGGGCGACAGGATACAACCCTGTTGAACGCCAGACCGAATACCAAAGGGTTGGAAAAGATTCTTTGAACCAGAATTCGCGCGGGGGTTGAGCGAAGATAGGCCTTGATCATGGCGATAATTTTTGGCGGTACGCCACCTAGTGCCATTATCCGCCACAGGGACTCACGATGGATGGAATCGAACGCGGCGGCAAAGTCAAAAAAGTAGACGGTTATCGGTTGCTGGTAACTATGGCGAACTTCAAGAATGCGACTTAGTTTGAATATCTGGTCCGCGCAACCACATCCAGGACGGAATCCGGCTTGGTTGGGCCTCGTCCTAGGGTCACGCACAGCCTGGAATCAACTGAGTAAGACAATAGCGAAGATCTTCGCAGCAACGTCGAGGAGGCTTATGCCGCGGTAGTTCTCACATCTTTCTTATCTCCCCTCTTGAGGATAGGTACAGAGATATCTAAGTCCCAGCCATCAAGAACAACCTCGTTCCTCCACGCCTGTTCAGTCACCTCATGCAACAAGGGCGCCAGAGTGTCGACACAAGACTAGTAGATTTCAGCGGGTATACCGTCCTCCCCAGGTGTCTTGTTGTTGCGTAGCTTTCGTATGGCATCGGAGACCTCTCCTTCAGAAGTAGGATCACATGGCACTGCATAGGTTGGAGAGGGAAGAAACTCCGCTGAGGAAGAGAGCAAGGGCGAGGTATGTTGGGTATTGAAGTTGAGATGGAGCTCGAAGTGCTCACGCCAGCGCCCGACTTCGGTCGAGTTGTCAGCAAAAAGGCCGCCATTCACGTCGCGAACTGTGTTACTCGGTATAGAGAGCTTCCCCAAACTTGGCGGATAAGTTGGTAGAGTTTTCGAGGTCATCAACGTTCGAGGCCTGTTCCATGGAGGTCGCTATTTCAGCTCAATATTGCTTCCGGTCATCCCTGGCCGACTTTGCCGCCATCTTCCGAAGTCGGCGGAAGGAATCATCACTACGGGACCTGGCTCGAGCCGTCTGAGCAGACAACTGCAGGGTTCTTCCGCTGATCCAGTCACTGCGGCGCTGCTGAGTATATCCAAGGATTTCCTCAGCTGCACCATTGACAGATGTTTTCATGTGACGATCACTGTTTACTGACTTCTCCGTCGGCTCGGGTCGTAAAACAGGTCCGCATTTCTCTGCTCAGGGCCTCGGCAGTGCTGGTTTGCTGGATTTTTGCGACATGCAGGCGTCTAGGACATGGCATTTTTTGCGCGAATGAGAGGTGAACTTTCAAGCGTGTACGAACGAGGACATGATCCAACCCATGGAAATTACCAGTCTCAACACCACGCAACGATCTGCCATCGTGAACCCAGCTACGGAACATTGAGCTGACTAGTATGTAGTCAATCTGACTGGCCGTCTGACCGTCGTCTGAATACCAGGTCAGCAGATGTTTCTTGCGATGCTGAAAACACGTTTTGGTAACAGCAGTCGGTTCTGATCAACGAAGTCCAGCAATCCCTCACCATTTTCACGCCGGGAATCAAGCCCAAAGTGGCCAAGAAGATGACTGTTTGTGGAGTCGCCAGGTCCAGTCCGACCATTCCAATCCCCGGCGGCCATTAGCGGATCGCAGCGAGGCAGTCTTTTTACTAGCGCTTGCAACTGCGAGTAAAACGCCTCTTTATCGCGCTGTTCAGCAGTCGAAGTTAGTACGTACACAGAGACGATTGAGATGTTCGAAAAGTGACACTTCAGTCGCACGTAGGCCATCCGATCATTGACAGGTTCCCAAGCAATTAACGCGAGGTCCGTTCGTTGCAAGAGGGCGATAGCCACACCGTGTCTACCATAAGA